TTTTTTTTTGAAAATCTTTAAAATAACTAGAAAGTACATATTTGAGCAATTTGTGAAGAAGCCTTTTGCTAGATATATCTTTATTAAAGTCATTTCCAGTCGTTTGGAGAAAACTATAATTATTGTAATCTTTAAATTAACTATTTTACAATTGATTTTTATCTTATTTTTTGAATCTGCATATGACAATATATCCTCTCTCTTTTTTTTCTTTAATTGGTCGTATCTACTCCTACTTATTTCAAGGTCAGTTCAGTAATAATAACCATATTTATTTCTTAATGTACCACATAAATGGGTTATGTTTGATTTTATGATGTTCTTTTATGAATTTCATTATATATGTAAATCTATATATTATATCTTTGATGCATTTTTTTAGTTGGTAGTATGTCCATATGTTTTGACTTGATAATGAGATTCTCCAATTTCCGTTTTTCGTTGTCCTTTACAAATTTAAGAGTTTTTAGGTATTTTTAGGCTAAAATTTCTTTAGGATGCAAGTCATTTCTTAAGCCAACTTTTGTTCCTTTTATTCCTTATCTTTTAGTTTGAAAATGAAATGGAATTCATATAAATAAATTCCCTTAAGAACTTAATTAAATTGAATTCTCATATTTGTTTAATAAAATTTTAATCTCTCTTTGCTATAAAGTATAAATTAAAGCAGAATTAATTTCATTTCTCTTTTGCAGTTTGTATCATTTTTGGTTTTTCTATTCCATATTCTGCAACTTGCATTCTCAACCTTCTTCAAAAACACTTGATCAAGAAACAATAGTTCCATGCCCAGAAGGTATAATTTTTTTTGCTCCCTGCATACTTTCTTCACATTCGTATGTGCGTATATTTATATATAAACTAAAAATCTACTTATACACAAATTTTATATATTTTATAAAGTCATATTAAAAAAAAATAAAACATCATAATTATTTTTAAAATAAAAAAGAGAATATTTTAGTTTTTTATAATATGTTATTAAAATAATATAGTTTTGAAATATTTTTTCATCTAATTTTTTTTATAAATTCAAGTGATATATATATATATATTACTTTCGAATTTTCTGGATTAATACTCTCCCTCCCCTTCAATGGATTATATCAATCTTCCACTTTTGAACTAATTTGTTACATTTTGGTGTCTATTATTTTACATGTAATGAAAATCTTTGAAGAAGATAGAGCATACTGAAGCGTGCAGTCTGTGAAGAAGCGTTTCGCCTAGCCCAGCATTTCTTTTCGTCATTTGGAGAAAGCACAATACATAAAAGCAAGGTGCACTTTTTTTTTTTTTTTTCATTAATTGTTGCCTCATTCTTTGAATTTGCATAATACATTAACAATATTTGTATTGTTATTCTTTTTTTAACGAATTTTTGGAACGGGGGTTAAGTCTGTTTCAAAAGTAATACTCTAATATTATTATTAAGTTAAAAGAGAAAACAAATTTTCAAGTCATTTTCAAAAAAACCAAAAAGTACATGAAAATTGGTGAAATAATTTTATATGTGTTTATGTACTTTTATTTTTCTTGCAATTCAAAATGTGAAAAACACATTTTTGATTTATTAACAGTTAGAATGTTCTAATAACTTGATAATCATTCCAAATCAATATCTTGTACCACTAGCTTTTACCCCCACCATGTTATGGCAAACGTCCTCCTAGCTATTGTGAAGTTTTTAATTTGGTTCTTTAAGTTTTATTTTTATCAATTGTATCCTTAATTACTTTGTTTCATATCATCATTTTAGTCAGTTTTTAGTTTCATTTTTCCTTGGAGATCACTTCAGAACTAATCTTTAAAAATTTCTTCCTCCCAAGTTATTTTTCTAATTGTTATGAAAATATGACTAAAAAAAAGACTTAACAAAGGCTGAATATTAAACTTTTAAAAGATATTATATAAAATTTTAATTTTTTTTAATTTAATGGTTCCTATATATATTAATGGTTATATATAGTATTCCAAACCAATGTTTTAAGCACTTTTTTTTTCAGAAGAATAGTGATATAGAATATGAAAATTTAGTATTAAGGATATAGTATAAGTCATGTTATTAAATAATTTGATGTAAATAATATTATAGATCCAAAAAATTGAAAAATTAATCATTAAATAATATATGATTCACTTTTTAATATTTTAAATAATATAATTTATACATGTAATTGATTCTAAATTTTAGACCTAAAATTTTTAACCCATTTATCATCATCCTTTTAAGAAAAGTTGGGGACATAAAATTTTCAAAATAGAGACAAAAGGCGAATGCATCCTATTGAATGATGGTTGTGCTTGATTAATTTCCCTTTTTATAAGTGGTAAGATTTATAGTAAAAATTAAAATAAAAATTTTAAAACTACAACCACACTAAAAAGTATATTTTTTTTTTTATCAAAATCAATATTTATCAACACTTCTACCCTGTAATAGTGTTATTCTTCATTACTTAAAAAAGAAAAAGGCGTAATGTTCAAATCCATCCTCAAAATTATGCAGTGAGACAAATTTACCCTTAAAAAAGAAAAAGACAATTCACGTCCAACCTTTTTTGAGTATGGAAAAGGCTCTCTTTTCAGTAGGGCCCAAATAATATGGAGATAAAAAAAGAGGAGAAAGTGCGACGGTGGTGGAAAAGAGGCCACTGTAAGTGTTCAGCGTGCAAAAATTAGGCAGCTAAGTTTGGAGTTAGCATAATGCTTACAGTGACGTCGCGTTATGGGTTAAATTTTAGATAATTTATCTAATTGAAAAGAATTGTAGGGGTGATTCACTTTTTTAATTTGAGAATAAATTTATATCTATTGCATAATTTTAGAGTAAATTTAGACATATTACCTTTAACAATCTTACCTTAGCAGCTAAACTTCACAAATTCCACTATTGAAATAAGGATCATGTATTTGCCCCACATCATTTTAAAAATTGTGACAAGTCAATTAGTCCGTTGGGAACAATAAGATATGGCAAAAGGTGCAGATCAGCCCTTGAACTCAACAACTGGTGGCAAATCACCCCCTCAACCCACTTCACGCGCAAACCAGCCCCTCAACTCCCCTCCAGTGGCAAATCAGCCCTTCTCTTAACATTTCCGTTAACATTTAACATTCCGTTCATCACCCCTCTACTGCATTCTAGAGAATTTTCTCCTCTTCATTTTCATTTCCCTAGAGAATTTTCTCAGATAACAAACACTCGGAACAAAATTTTGGAAGTTGTTTTCCTTAAAAACAGGAGGAGTCTATACTCGGCCTGAGTTTCCATCTCGACCTTTCTAAAGCTGGCGTGTATTATTTTTCCTTCCCATTTGTCGCCTCCGACCGAATGCTCCATAATCATTCGTCGTCACATACTACCCATTCCATTTCGCACGAATTGGATCCAAATTTCGGTCATTAAAACTCTGTCACTACGACTAAATCCCCATACCATGATCCCAACCACAAGATCATGGTTAGAAACTCAGATGATCTTGAGACCTAGAAACTTAGCCGATCTTGTGGCATACAGTTCCTTCACCTGCTCTGAAATTACAGCAACCCACATGAAATACAGTTCCCCTCTCAAAACACAAAACCTAGAAACTCAAGCAATCTTGGGAAGTGTCTGATGCTTTGGTGCCTCTAAGAAGGACAACTTTGCCAAAACCCATGAAATACAATGTCCTAAGCATGATGGGTGGATCAAGAAACCCATTAAAATTTATTGGAATTTATTTTATTATGTAAAATAATGCTTATTGCTGTCCTGAGTGCATAAGTTGAGTTTTTGGGTTTTGAGACAATAAGATCGGGAAGATTAGAGTCTCATTTGACAATGCACACCAGCTGTTCGATCTTTTGTCTAAAAGTGGTTGTGCTGGTAATCTGGTTGTGGCGTAATAAGATGGTTGTCTATGATGAATAGGTGGATTCGATAAAAGTTTCTTGAAATTGATATATGTTGCAAACAAGGAATAGGCAGGGATGGCTGTAGGCTGAAGTTGCAATAGCATGACTAGGGAAAGTAGGAAAATGAACAA